CCATATTATTTTCCTACCGTGTGATCTTGACTTCTCCGCAGGTTTTCCACCTCCTGGAAGATTTCCCCGAAACTTTTAGGAAATTCTTCTTTCTTTGCTGCATAAGTCCAACCCCATTAACCTTCTGCCACTTTGTACTTAACTAATTGTAAGCTGAATAGATTTGTACATTTAGGCAAAGGTTAACACTTTTCAGGCAACGTTATTCTTTATTATTCGAGTTCGTATTTTATGAAATACGTGAACAATAGGAAGTATAAATGGGACGAATGACAATATGAGTAAATAATCAAACGGTAAACTTTATTTTGATGTATATTCATTTCGAAAACAAGCCAGATGAAACGAATACAATTACTTGATTATTAGCTTTGATTGTATTGCATATTCGATAAGAAATAAATTATAATTCTTACGCAAAAACAATTTTCACGCTTATCGTTAATTTATAGTGGATTCCCGATTTTCCTTCAATCTGCAGCTTTTACATTATTCCATTATTCTCCAGGAATAAGTCTCTCAAGATAATATAAAATATGTCTCGTTGAAAAGTATATATAGTAGTCTTTATGTACAAGTTTCAATGTTTTTCATTTTAACAATTCAATTGGTCAGTATATTTTTGCGTTTTGTTAAGCCATATATGTATAACAAATGCGTTGCAATCCAGTGGCTCATTACTTCAAATTACTTTTCTCTCGTGCATATTCAGCAATGTACTATGCACGATATTCTGCTAGTAATTGTTTTCTTTGAGCACATATGGGTGTCTAGATCCCGGGTGGTGTCTTATAACATTACTAGAATTAAGGTAATAAAAAGGCGATTCTTCCGCACACGTTTTTACAATGAATTACTTATTGCTCCGCTGGCATAGCAGCCTTTATATATTTATTTATATACATATATATACATATCTACACATATATATAATCGTTTCAAAGGCCATAGGGCGGGGCTTATTTGTGCACTTTTATGTGACACGTCCATGTTAATCCTGACAATTGCAAGAAACTCGAGTATGTTCCTTCGACCATTGACGAAGGTGGATCATCGACTTGTGAACTGAAGGAAACATAAAGTTATCTGGAAAAGATAGTGAATCGCGTTAGTGACTGACCTGACATCAATCATTCTTGCATAGATAGGGAAATATAATTCGTTTTGTGCTATTTATATATTAATTTAGTATAGAATTTAGTGAACAAATATGAAGAAATGAAAAAGAAGGTGTAATTAATATTAGAATTACTACTGCCTCAATTAACGATGCCTAAGAACAAATAAGCAAGTTATCGGTTGAATGAATGTGAAATAATTGGTACCGTGAAGAAAAATGAAAATTACGTTAACGTTAACGAATTCGTCAATGTATTGAGCGAAACGTCTATCCCCAGATGCAGTAGCACTGCTATTACAATCTGCACGAAAATAAGAAGGTACGACTACTTCGCTTCTATAAATATTAACCGCCAACCTGAGTTTGAGTGTATCAAATGTTCGATCAGCCGAAAACTAAAAACGAAGATTTGTTGTTCGAGTAAATTACAACTGAGAAATATCGGACGTTAAATATCTGACGAGATGAAGCTATTTGCACGTCCTAAATGCTTTTCCGAGATTATAGCACCGGTGACAACTGTCAACTGTATAGTGGGACTTCGCGCTTTCGAATATCCTCGTGGCAATACGAGACCTATACTCAGTCTGATTTATCTCGCGTTTATTTACATCACATTTTGTTGTGGCATATTACGCATGTACCAAAGATACTATGCGGGCCTTAAACTGATGAAACTGGAATATGCTTTAATGAAATTATTGATGTATATCCTTCTAGTATCTGTGATATTGAAAATGCTACTAGGTTGGTGGCACACAAAGGTGAGCAAAAGAAATGTGCGATACATTATAGTTGTACTGTACTGCATTCATGGTATACAAGTCATAAAATACAATTTCAGAACTAAATCATGCGTATAAATTGTAAGTTTATCACATTGTAAATTTACATTTGTAGAAATTTAAAGTTTGTCTCAAGAAGATCTTTGAGATCGATGAAACGTTGCAACAGCTCGGACTGACGGTGAATTATGACAGATTATACTTCGTTATGATTGGAATCATAACTGTTTTGATAACGTTTGTTTTCGTTGTGTGGACAATGATGTTCATTCACTTGACCATAAGCACGGATGTATTTACTTCAATTTATCTTCTACTCATATACACGTATTCGTTCATCGTCAACTCTATTAATATATTCGAATTCTTCATATTTGCGAAGTATGTAAATCAACTTTTTAATAATCAAGAAATTTATGTATTTATTAGATTAGTATTCATAAAATTAATAAGTGAAAAATTAATAGTCGCTATTGTCTTGCTTAACTTGTTATGCATAATGTCAACATTGAAAGCATATTATAATAATCCTGTTTTGTAATTTTGTTTTATATTATTCAGTAATACTTTCTGATTTATTGTTAATTTCGTGAAGATATGACATACTATTACTGATTTACATTAGATTATAGATATTAGAGTTCTAAAATACATGTTATAATATTTAACATGCTTCTATGCAATAATGCAGATGCTCACAAATAAAATTTAAATTGGTCAACCAACTTTTGCTCGAGAGCTTAACAGATTTATCCAAGAAAGATAAGAAATTAGGCATTTTTGACATGAAGGATTATGAGAGTATCATAGATGTCGAGCAACAAAAGCAAGTTTCTTCCACAAAGATGATATTCCGAAGGCGTCAGCGGGTGCAAACCGGAATTAATTTTTCTATATTGAAGAAGCGAGATCCGGCCGTATTTCAAACTGAATCTCACTTTCCATCTCATATCACAAATCATTTTCAAAGCGTACTCCAGAATCCACCTCGAAGACACAATACCACAACAACAAAATGTGAGAAACCTAAACATCTTTTACAAGTAATCAGGTGAGTACAGGCAATTATTAAATACGTTGGTACAAAGTAAACTCTGTAAAATAAAAATCTGTATATTACATATAAAATATAAAGTATTGAAATAGATATTTATTCGGTATTTTTTTTAAATAAAAATCGATTTAAGTCAGTTTTGCCGTTAACATATTTAAAAGTTGTAATCTTTTGCAAACGCTAAAAATATTCGAGTCAGATTTCTTAAAAAATTATTGAGAAACAAAAGACAGCATTCAATAAAAATATTTCTGATTATCTTTAAGTGTTTTTAAGACAGGTACACCTGAAAGTGTGTAAAGTAACGAAAATAGTATCCACTATGCTTGGAATACAAGTAGCTTGGGACATAGGAGTAATTATGATGGCTCTTATCGTATCTCTTTATAGTTTGTATATTCGATACATTATGAGCAAATACGATATAAAATATTTGACACAACATACGTTTGTGACGTTGTCATTGTGTTCTTTTCACGTTATGAAAATCTTTATTCTGAATCGCGTTTGCAAGAATGCAGCTGATGAGGTAACTGGTTTTATAGTCCACAATCGAATTAACGATCGAGATACAGTAACTTTTACATAACATTTATTTATAGGGAAACAGAACCGCTGAAATCATTCATTCGATTTATGGTTGCAATACAGATATTGATATAAAGGAAGAAGTTCGTTTGTTGCAATACATTAACATATAGTTACTGCTATATATTATCTAATTATCGCTTGAAATTGTTTCAGATTCAACAGTTTGGCCTTCAAATTTTGCAAAGCCCCGTGACATTTTCTGCGTTTAGTCTTACTTTGGACAATCGTGTCGTAAGCATGGTTCGTATCAAATTGTTATTATACATACTGGTGGTTGTCGTTATATCAACCATTTTGACAAATAGGACAAAATTTACAATTACAAACGCTAAATAATGTTCTCTTCACACTTTTATAAATTGTGTGAAAATAAGTTTTATACATTTACCCCGATCATATAACAAATGCAGTGTATTTAACTTTTCTTGGTTATAGATTTTGATGATCCTGACGACCTACATGGTTTTCGTGATACAGACGGGCAATGAATTGGAATCGAATAATGCTATACATCATGCACAAGTTTAAATAATTGTAGATATTAAATAATTCATTCATCCCAATGGCGCTATTGCCCAGATTCAGTCTTCACCTTCTCAAACTTCTCAACCTCTAGATATCCCCTTTATACAGGGTGTTAATAAATTATCGCATTGGCGGTATACCGTCGGATAGCACGTGAAAATCTAAGAAAAATGCCGTTTGTTACAAGTCGATCCGATCATTACGTTCCGAGTAATTAATTATTGAAAATTAGTAATTTGGGCCAATCAGCGCGCGAGCTCAACGGACAGGAGAAGGAGGCGCACGCGATGGGCACGTTCGGCCGTCTAACCCTCTGCTCAGTGTATGCGTCCGTGCGTGTTGGCGGCTACAGCCGAGCGTACCCATCGCGTGCGCCTCTTCTCCTGTCCGTTGGGCTTGCGCGCTGATTGGCTCAAATTTTTAATTTTCAATAATTAATTACTCGGAACCTAATGATCGGATCGATTTGTAACAAACAGCATTTTTCTTAGATTTTCGCGCGCTATCCGATGGTATACCGCCAATGCGATGATTTATTAACAACCTGTATATGTTAACATCCTCCAGTTCACATGAAGCATATTCTTGGTATCTCTGTCAATATTATTTTTCTACCGTGTGATCTTGACTTCTCCGCAGGTTTTCCACCTCCTGAAAGATTTCCACGAAACTTTTAGGAAATTCTTCCTTCTTTGGTGCATAAGTCCCACCCCATTAACCTTCTGCCACTTTGTACTTAACTAATCTGAATAGATTTCTACATTTAGGCAAAGGTTAACACTTTTCAGGCAACGTTATTCTTTATTATTCGAGTTCGTATTTTATGAAATACGTGAACAATAGGAAGTATAAAGCAGACGAATGACAATATGAGTAAATCATCAAACGGTAAACTTTATTTTGATGTATATTAATTTCGAAAACAAGCCAGATGAAACGAATATAATTATTAGGTGTACAAATGAATAATCCAATTTTTTCAGCTACATTCAGGGTTTATTTTAAAAGAAAGTAAATGAAATTGTTCAATCAAAGTATTCGCCATTGCTTTCTATAACTTTAAGCCATCTTTCAGGCAACTGATGAATTCCATCTCGGAAAAATGTTACGTCTTTGGATACGATAAAGCCATTTTCGGATCTCATCCACTGTTTGGAAGTGCATATCGAACAAGGCGTGTTGCATCGACCGGAACAAGTGGTAATCGGATGGAGCAATATCTGGTGAATACGCCGGGTGCTGCAAGACGTCCCAGCCAAGACTCATTATGGTGTCTTTTGTATTGGAAGCAATGTGTGGCCTGGCGTTGTCATGCAACAATTTCACTGGACGTTCTCCTTTGCCAGTATACGGACGTTTTCGTTCCAATTCTTGACTCAAACAGATTAATTGACGTTGGTAGCAGTCCGCAGTAACTGTTTCACCCGGTTCCAACAACTCACAATAAAGCACGCCCTTGATATCCCACCAAATGCAGAGAAGAACCTTCTTTCCGAAGCGATTGGGTTTTGCGACCGATTTTGATGATTCGCCGGGATTTATCCATGACTTTCTGCGTTTCGGATTGTCATAGAGTATCCATTTCTCATTGCCCGTAACGATTTTCCACAAGAAAGACTTCCGACGCTGCTTATTGAGAAGAGAAAGACACACTGCCACTCGTTGATTTTTGTTGGATTCAGTGAGTTCATGCGAAACCCATTTTCCTTCTTTCTGGATCTTTCCCATCTCATGTAGGCGTTTGGAAATCGTTCGCTGCGTTAGGGTGGAGTCCCATGGAGCGGAATACGCGGAAGCGGAATCAGCGGATCGCCAATCACAAGACCGTTTCGACGGAATTTTTGAAAGGGCTCTATCAGAATAATCTTGCGATTGGCGATCCGCTGATTCCGCTTCCGCGTATTCCGCTCCATGGGAC